TTTTTTTCAGGTAAAAAAAAATAGAAATCAGATTTTTCTTGTCATATGTACCATCACCCCACCCTCTGAGCAGGCTAGGAAGAGACAGTAGAAGGCTAGAGCAGAGGTCCAAACAGAATTTTTCCTTTTCAGACTGTTTCCAAAACACTCTGTCTAATGGCAGCCCAGGACAATTTCAGTGGCTGTGCTATTTAGTGGCAAGAGAGGAATGATGGGCCTTTGATTAGGCTTAAGGTGTCAGTTTTATTTTAGAAAAAAATCTGTGGCAAACCCCCGTTTGGCTATGCAGGGTTGACATATGTCTTTTATAATGGCAGAAAACTGATGAATGAAATTTCCATAGGTGTCAAGTTAGAAAACATCTGCCTGAATTATAAATAAAGAAGAGTAAAAAAAAAAGTCAGCGTTTGGGTGAATTCCATTGGGCTGCAGGCTGCCTATGATTCTTTGGACAATTAGCTTCCTTCTTCATGCTTATTTTCTATGGGAAATAATATACTGAAGACTACACTGTTTCCTATTGTGTAACTTTTGTCTCTTCTTTAACTATAAGGGATAGGTTTATATGTCCAAATGAAAGTGTTGCACAGTGGGAAGATAGCTTTAATTTTGTGTTTTGTCCTCATTTCTTCATACTACACCTTAGTGCCTGTGATCGGAGCATTCAGCAGTATGTCATGGACCCTGATTACCAGTCCTACCTGAAGGGGACCCTTTTATGCCAGGAATTCTTTTCATTGTTGAGTCTATATTTCTTTAAGCCCTAAAATGAACAGTGAATGTCACATACCTAAGATGAACATTGTTAATTAGAAGTTTTAGTAACCATGGTGGATTTCACTGACCAAAACACAGCATCCACCCCAGCTTTTCTATGTGAATATTTACTCTGAGTGGGGAGACAGGTCATTTTCATGATTGGCAGGTGGAGGTAGAGTTTTCACAAATTTGCCTCTGCTATGAGCACTCGTAGAAATGGAGGTTTTACTTATTTATAAACCACTACAATTATAGACTTAGTAAAAAAAAAATGAAGCATAGAATAATGACTAGAACTTAGAATCAAAAAGACTTGAATTCAAATCTGTCCTCAGGGACTTGTTAGCTGTGTGACTCAGTTTCTTCATCTATCAAATGAGGGGGTTGAACTCCATGGCTGCCAGGTTCTTCTAGCTCTAAATGTAGATCTTATTAAAAGCCTTTAGAACAGGGAATGTTAGAGCTTTGGGGGACCGTAGAATATAGAACAAAGAGTGGTAGAGTTGGAAGGGCTTTTAGAATATGCAATGTTAGCACTGGCGCGGAACTTAGAACACAGCTTAAAATGTTAGATTTGGAAAACCCTTTAAAATCCTGTGGATTTTTAGAACTGGAAGGGAGCTTCAAACACGAAATGTTGGAACCAGAAGAGGCTTCATGGAGGAATGGAACATCTAACCTAACCTCATATTACTTGGAGACTGAAAAAAAAAAACCAGAAACAAACCAAAATTATCTCCAGAGAGCTTGGCCGAATAACTTTGAGATTTTACCAAAATGGAATGGCTTGAGACCTTAAAATGTAGCTTTAAGCAATATCTTTGTGAAAAAGTAGTGAGAAGTCTATGATAGATGACCAATCAAAGTTCAGAACCAAGCTCTTTTCATTCTGATATAATAATCCTTCAGGTGAAGACTTGGGTCTGAGTCCTGACCATGCCACTTACTAATCAATATGACCCAAGCAAGTCTCCAAGCCTTAGTTTTGTTCTCTATAAGATGGGAAGATTAGAATGTGGCACTGCTGCCTTCCCAAGGTTATTCTAAGGACAGAACTCTGAAAAATAAATTATTCATGTAATTATTATTTTTTATGGTATCATCTAAATTCTTTAAATCCAACGGCTTTTCTTATGGCCACCACCTCCAAAGGATGAAGCAACAGATCTCACCACCCTTCTCACTCACTTTATATGCTTTTTCCGATTTCCTTAATTCATTGATTTATCATGCACAGATTAAATGCTGAAGTCTGGTGGTTTAAATCTGATTTACCAAAGGTAGAAGATGATATTGATGAGGAAAATTAAACAGGTACAAAAAACTATCAATTCTTCACATAAATCTATGATGAAAAACCCATGTTTCACTATGGTGGATATTCGAGTATCAAACTAAGGCTTCTAATTGCTATTTGTTAATAGAAATTCATCCCTTATGCCTAGAAATAGTATGCTTACATGTCAGTGTCCTTCTCTGACTTCCCTCTGGTCCCAAATTCTAACAGTCTACTCATCCTGATTGGAACCAACTTCTTTGACACCCTTGGTGCCACAGTATCCTTAGCAAGGCCTTCAGCATCTCCAAAGGTCAGTAATATTTTGAATTCATTCATTGTACTTGTGAAGTTTCTCAGTTAGTAGTCTAAGGTGCTGACAGAAGAGGATGCTTGGTCAGCTGTCCTCTCTTCCCTGTGTGTCAGTCCAGTCAATACGAGACAAAGTCATCAGCTGCTGCCTTAAAACAGCACTTTCACAGAATGAATCATCTACGAGTCAGAGACTGTTAAACGTGAAAGCAACCTCAGATAGCATTTCAACATCAAATCACAGGATCTCAGAGTTGGAATGGACCTCAGAGGCACATCTCATCCAAATGTGTGTGCTCTCTCTCTCCAAATTTTATATATGTGTGTGTGTGTGTGTGTGTGTGTATGTATATATATGTATGTATATATGTATATATATATACATAATCTACATAACATATATAATATATACAACATATAACATGTTTGTGTGTGTATATGTGTGTGTGTGTGTATGTGGATGGATGGAAACAGACCTAGAAACAGAAAGGGACTTGCCCACAGTGACAAATAACTGAATTAAACTATGATAGACAGTCTTTTGAGGTCACTCAATAGACAGTTTCCTTTTTCAATGGTTTGAAAAAAAATCAATTTAAATTGTATTTCCCTAGTACTTAGGGTAGCCAAAGCTGTATCAGTTCCTTTGGAGAAGAAAAAAAAATATATATATATATATGAAATATATCTCTGACTCTGAACTTACAATCTAGTAGGGAAACAAGGCTTATATAGTTAAAAAATGAATAAAACATTAGAGCAAAGTTTTGAAATACAAAGCAGTATAGAATCAGAATTCAAAGATAGTATAGTAAAATAAGCATCTAGTTGGGAACTTGGAGAAGTGATGTGGTATAACCTTTTGCTTTGGGGGGCCTTGCTCACTAATGAAAAGAGTGGATTAAACTAGGTGGTCTCTGAGCACTCTTTCAACCTTAACATTCTGTGTTCTGTGCTCTAAGGTCACTTTGGGTTCTGAAATCCTATGCTCTAAAATCCTTTCCAGGTCTAACATTTCTAACAGAACATTTATGTTCTGTGATCTAAGACCCCTACTACCTCTGAGAATCTTAGGTTCTTTATACCACTGACAGTCTATAAATCCTAAATTATGTGAAAAAAAAGACCTGAGCGCTCTCTGTGGGCAGTCGGGAAGAGGAGAAATCATTTTGCCCAGAATGCTTTCATGGAGGTCATGGGACTTGAGGTGGACCTTGAAAGATGTAGTTATCTCTTAACATCTCAGGCACACTCCTATACTCCCAACTACTCAGGAGGCTGAGGATGGTATATGTCTTAAGTTCAGGAACTCTGAACTGCAGTAGGCTTATAAATGTTGGATGTCTGTACTAAGTTTGGCATTAATGTGGTGAGCCCTTTGGGGAACAGGAGGCTAACAGGTTGCCCAAAGAGTGATATTTTTGGCATACAGACCTAGTAGTGAGACCTAGTCTTTTTTTAAAAAAAACTTACCTTTTATTTTTTTTCTTTTGGTTAGGCAATGGGGTTAAGTGACTTGCCCAGGGTCACACAGCTAGTAAGTGTTATGAGTCTGAGGCCAGATTTGAACTCGGGTCCTCCTGGCTCCAGGGCCAGTGCTCTATCCACCATGCCACCTAGCTACCCCTACCTTTGACAGGAACTATATGAACACAATTACAAAATGCTTTTCAAACAGATAAAGTCAGATCTAAATGATTGGAAAAACATAAATTACTCATGGATAGGCCAAGCTAATATAATAAAAATGACAGTTCTACCTAAGCTAATTTACTTATTCAGTGTCATACCAATCAAATTACCAAAAAATTATTTTATAGAGCTAGAAAAAATAATAACAAGATTCATTTAGAATAACAAAAGGTCCAGAATATCAAGGGAACTAATGAAAAGAAATGCAGGGGAAGGTGGCCTAGCCATTCCAGATCTTAAATTGTATTATAAAGCAGCAATCATCAAAACTTCATGGTACTGGCTAAGAAAGAGAGTGGTGAATCAGTGGAATAGGTTAAGTATGCAAGACACAGTAGTCAATGACTATAGTCATCTACCATTTGATAAACCCAAAGACCCCAGCTTCTGGGATAAGAATTCACTATTTGACAAAAACTGCTGGGAAAACTGGAAAAGAGTATGGCAGAAACTAGGCATAGATCAAAATCTCTTACCATATACCACAATAAAGTCAAAATGGGTTCATGATTTAGATGTAAAGGCTGATACTATAAGCATTTTGGGAGAGCAAGGAATAGTTTACCTGTCAGATTTATGGAGAACAGAAGAATTCATGACCAAACAGGAGATAGAGAACATTATGAAATGCAGAATGGATAACTTTGATTACATTAAATTGGAAAGTTTTTGTACATACAAAGCCAATGCAACCAAGATTAGAAGGAAAGTAGAAAATTGGGAAAGAATTTTTACAACCACTCTCTCTGATGGTGGCCGCATTTCTAAAATATATAGAGAAGTAAGTCAAATTTATAAGAATACAAGTCATTACCCGATTGATAAATGGTCGAAGGATATGAACAGGCAGTTCTCAGATGAAGAAATTAAAGTCATCTATAGTCCTATGAAAAAATGTTCTAAATCACTATTGATTAGAGAAATGCAAATCAAAACAACTCTGAGGTACCACATCACACCTATCAGATTGACCAATATGACAAAACAGGACAATGATAAATGTTGAAGAAGATAAAAATTGGAACACTAATGCATTGTTGGTAGAGTGAAATGATCCACCCATTTTGGAGAGCAATTTGGAGCTATGACCAAAGGGCTATAAAAATGTACATATTCTTTGACCCTGCAATAGCACGTCTAGGGCTGTATCCCAAAGAGATCATACAAATGGGAAAAGGACCCACATGTACAAAAATATTTATAGCAGCTCTTTTTGTGGTGGCCAGGAATTGGAAATTGAGATTTAAATGATTTCTCCTCTTCCTGATTTCCCCATCAATTGGGGAATGGCTGAACAAGTTGTGGTGTATGAATTTAATGGAATACTATTGTGCTATAAGAAATCATGAGCAGGAGGACTTCAGAAAAACCTGGAAAGACTTGTATGGTCTGATGCTGAGTCAAGTGAGCAGAACCAGGAGAAGGTTGTACACAGTAACAGCCACATTGTGCAATGACTAACATTAGTAGACTTAGCCCTTCTCAGCAACGCAAGGATCTAGGACATCTCCAAAGGCCTTATGATGGAAAGCGCTCTCCACATCCAAAGAAAGAACTATGGAGTTTGAATGCAGATCGAAGTATACTATTTGCTCTTTTTTTCCTTCTGTTTTGTTTTGTTTCCTCTTTCTGGTGGTTCCTCCTATTGGTTCTAATTCTTACTTACAACATCAACAATAAATATGTTTAATAGGAATGTATGTATATAGCCTATATTGGATTGCGTGCCATCTTGGAGAGGGAGGTGGGAAGGGTGGGGGAGAAAAATTTGAAACTCAAGCACTTATGGAAGTGATTGTTGATAAATCTTTTTTTGATTAATTAAATTTAGTTAATTTAAAAAAACAAAAAAATGAAAAAAAATTACCTTTTAAAAAGAAAACCATTTTTAAAAGAAAAAATAATAGTAAGAGGGCTCTTTCAATCCAATTGAGGGAAAGTTAGCATCCATTTCTTTTTCATTACCTCTGTAGGAATCTCGTATCCTGGAAGAAGAAAGGAAAGTAAAAGAGGAAACTCAACAGACACGTTTAGAATTCCATCAGCAGTTCATTGCGGAAGTACAGGAATGTATACGGTTTCTTCACCAACACATGCAGCAGGTGATTGGAGAGGCCTTGCTTGAGCATGCACGGTGTGATATGGCCAAGAGCCGAGCCAAAGACAGAGATGATTTTAAGGTAAGAGGGACTCTGGAACTCCTTGATAAATTTGTCATAACAAAAATTGGAGAGAGGGAAACAGAAGAGGTAGATGGAAAACTATGATTTATGAAAGTAATAGAATATTATTGTGCAGTAAGAAAAGGTAACTGAGGAATCGGAAAAGCAAGAGAAGATTTATATTAAATGATGTATAATGAAGTAAGCGGAACCAAGGAACCAATGTACCTAAGAGTATAATGATATAAATGAAAAAGAAGTTTGAACACTGGGTAATTGAAAAACAGTGAAATTACCAGAGAGCAGATAACATAACATGTCTTTGCCTCACAATAGAAAGATATTGGGTCACTGGGATATGTACATTGTGAGATGCAGTCACTCAAATATTTTTGCTTAATTTTTTTTTATCACAAAGAACGGTCAACTGGGGAGAGAGGGTGTTGAAATGACTTGATATAAAGATAAAAGGTATCAATAAAATGTTTTAAAAATAAAAAGACATGAGAAGATTTTCATAATCACATAATTCAAAAGTAGTGCCTGAATGACTTAAGGAGGAAATCGTATTGATCCTTGACTAAAAAATAATACACATTTTCATAACACTTTGTAGTTTGAAAAACACCTTATGTGCATTGCCTTATTTAATCCTCACAATAACCCTTTGAAATATGCAGTATTTTTATACCCATTAGATAGATGAAGAAAGTGAGGCTCAGAAAACCAGCATTCTATAATGGAAAGAACATTGGATTTGGAGTTAAAAGACCCAGTTCCGTTTTCCAATTCATCCTGTTATGAGGTTGTGTGACATAGAGCAAATCACTTTCCCTTCCTAACCTATAATTTCATCGTCTGTCATATAGTACTTTTCCATTCATATTGAGAAAAATGCTTTCTCATCTTTACATCTCTATATAAATCTGAGTTATTAATACTACCAGGGAGTTTAGATGATTTGCTTACGGTAACACAGCTAATCAGTCATAGATCTCGGTCTCATACCCAAGTCTTGGGATTTTAAATGCTAGCATCTATCCACTCTGCCTTGCAGCCTCCTCAAGAGAGGTTTAAGAGATGTTTCAAAAATTTCCCCTGATGACTTTGAAAGCAAGACGATGATGGCTGATACTTTTTTCCCTCTGAAGATGCTTGCTTATTCTTTGGCTCTCATCATATGAACGGCCAGCTGTGGTGGCAGGGAGTTACCAAGAGGGGAGGTCTTCTCAAGTTCTCACTTTGATGAACTGTCAAATAGTTGGGAAGGGCCTTCCCCTTCTGACCTCACATAAATAGCCCTGTATCATGCACCTCTGACAAATATTATCATGTAATATTGTGTATTCTACTTAGCTGTGGTGGTGTTACTATTGGGAGGCAGAGAGGTGATACAGTGGTTAGATTGTGGCACCTGAAGTCAAGAAGATCTGAGTTCAAATGCTGCCTCAGCTACATACTAGCTGTGTGACTCTAAGCAAGTCACTTTGCCATCTACATCAGTTTCCTCATCTGTAAAATGGAGTAATAATGATACCTCCCTCCCACGGTTGTTCTGGTAATACTATATCTGTAAAGCATTTTGCAAATCTTAAAGTATCATATAAATGTTAGCAATTATTTTATTGATCTCTGCTACTAGCGTGTAAAGTTCATATTGACATGGGCCATGTTTTCTGACAGTGTTTTTCACCATTCTTCCTCTGCTTAGCGTATTGCTCAGCACATAGAAGTTCACAGTCTGGGAGTCATCTATGACTCTTTGTTCCTAATTAAAAAAAAAATTCTAAACTTTAACATTCTCCTCCATGAACATTTCTATAAACACAGCAGAAAAATAGAATCATATGTGAAAATGCAAATTCCTATTATCTACAGCTCTTTTTTTAAACTCATTTAATAAATTCAACATGTTTTTAGAAGCTATTCAGCTTGTCTATGTTTCCTTCTTTACTTCTATCTGTTCTTTTCTGGGCATAATTTTAAGTGTTTCAATGATGCTTTTTCCTTTCTTTTCTTCTGTTAAAAAATTCATCTCATCATCCTTGGCTCTTTCCCTAGTTTCCCCCCACCCCTTTCCAGTAAACTGCCAACTTTTGTCTATTCTCCCCCCACAATACCACCCTATCTGTGACCTTCTCTACATTCACATCACCACCACCCTAATTCAGGCATAAGGAGCCCCATGAGCAACAGCATGGAGGTGGAAAGACTACATCCTCATACCCATCTAAAACCGTATCCTTTCCTTTTTCTTTTTGGAACAGGGGACATTGATAGAAGCAGCTGTAGAAAGCGTATATGTGACCAGCAACAATGTTAATAGGCTCGTCCACAGTTACTATCAACAAATTGGGAAAATCATGCAGAGTCACGAAGAGAGAAAACTCCAGCAGCTCAAGGCATTACAGGGTACCCTGCCCTCTGTGGTCTGATTTTCTTTCTGAGAGTCAACATCATCACTGAGTTTACTTTGGGGAATAAATGATTTTTAATTGGATTTGACATCTAGAAATACATTGAATAATAGCAAACTATCTAGATATTAATGATTTCCCAAATTAAATGGGTTAGTGGTGAAGGAGAGAGGGGAATAGGCATTTATATAGTGGTTCCTAGGTCCTAGGCACTATGCTAAGCACTTTTCACAAATATTATCTCATTTGATCCTCAAAACAACCTTGCAGGGTAGGTACTATTATCCTCATTTTGCAGTTGGGGAAAATGAGGCAGGGAGATTAAATGACTTGTTCATAGTCACACAGGTGATGTCCCAGGCTGGATTTGAACTCAGGTATTCCTGACTCCAGGTCCAGAACTCTATCTGCTGTACAACCTCTAATTAATTAGCCTCTAGCTAATTAATTGGGTTGGCTAGATGGCATGTTGGATAGAGTGTCTGACCTAGAGTCAGAAAAACTGAGTTCAAATCCAGCCTCAGCCATTTAACTATGTGGACAAGTCACTTATTTGCCTCAGTTTCCTCATCTTTAAAATGGGAATTATAATAGCACTTACCTTCTAAAGTTGTCAGAATCAAATGAGATAATAAGTATAAAGCACTTAGCACGGTGAATGGCACATAGTAAGCACTATATAACTGTTAGCTATTTGTTGTTACTGTTATTATTAGTAGTAGTAAAGAAAATAGGGGTGTCTTTTGTCAATAACATATCTTCAAGAGATGTGAATAAGTATTTTAAATTGCTGTTCATTCATGTAGTTAGAAATACTGGACTGAGAGTCAAGCCACATGAATTTTCATCCCTGTTTTTTGAAGTGTACATGACCTTGGATATGGTACATCCTTCCCCTCTTCAGGTCTCTATCTTAGCCATAAAATGAGGGGATTAGATGAAGTGATCTACAAGACCCCTCCTATATCTTGGATTGTTCACTCTTTGTTCTAATGTCTCTTTTAGCTCTAACTTTTTCATAGAAGTTCAGAGGGCATCTAGTCCAACTGATACACAAAAAGGAATTCCCTCTACAAGATCTCCAACAGGTTGTCATCCAGTCCCTAACTGGAAACCTTTAATAATGGGAAAATCACTACTCCTTTAGGTAGACCATTCCACTTAAGTATAGTGCTAGTTGTTAGGGAGTTATTGTTTATATTAAGTAAAAATCTATAATTTTCACCAAATGGACCTCATTATGCCTTCTTATATATCTATAGTCAATTCTAGCTCTCACATTCTGTGTTCTATGTATTTATGGTCCCATCCAGTTCTGACATTCAGTATTAAAGAAATTCCATGTATGGACTAAGCCTAAGCTTTGGTCCTAGCAACAGTTTATAATCTTTTGTCTGCAGAGAAGCAGTATGGCATGATCCATATCCACAGCATCTTTTCTCTGCAAAGAATCATGGATTCTTCAAATAAAAAATATTTAAAGCACCTGTGATTTCATCTGTGTAGGGAGGTCCAGATGAAGAAGCTCCTCCCGCAAAAATAGATCAGCAGCTGCCAATCTAAGAATATTGCCTGTGGCAATGAGAATTTAAATGACTTTTCTACGATCATACAGCCAATATGTCAGAGCATCCTCAGGAACTTGACAAGACCATTATACCACACTGTTTGCCAGTGAAATGTAATAAGTGATTTTATAATTTAAGTAGTGGGATCATAGATTTAGAGCTGAAAGGGGTCCTTAAAGGTAAACTAGTATAACTGTCTCATTTTACAAATGAGTAAACCGAAATTACTATTGTTATTATGAAGTGACTTGAACAAGGTCACACAGCTCCTAAGAACAAAGCCAGCATTAACAACCTGTGTTTACAGACTTCCAGTCTAGGGCCCTTTTTCATACATCAAACTTGTTCTCACTAAACTAGAATTGGTGAAAATCTTAAGAAACTCTCAAGTAAAATTTATCTTTGAAAGATTTTTTTCCAAGTCAAATTAATAAGATCTCAAGAGAAATGTGTGACTACTTTGCTGTGAAAAAATATATATATATATATTTCACTTGTCACAAAGTTTGGAAGAGAGTAATTTTGAACTGATGGTTTAATGGAAGTACTTTTCTTTCAGCTGAAAGGATGGACAATTACAAGCTTCAGAAGCAAACAGAATTGAGTGACCAGTCACCGAGTAGAAACGCGTCAAGACCCACCTCTGATGTGCCCAGCACTGTCCATCAAAGGTGAGTGTCTGCAGTTTCTCACCATTAGCAGTCCTATTAGCGGTCTTGATGGTTTTCTTAATAAATGCTTGTGAGTGACCCAAATGTGCTAAGTGCCATTCACAGCACAGGACTGGTTACGGTCTCTGGCTGCCAAGAAAAGCAACCAAATATAGCAACATTGGATAGGGCAGGCACAATAGAAGCAGTTCTGTTTTATGTAAGCAAATTACTTTCATCTTCTAAGTATCTTATAATTGATTGAATAAAGCAGTTTTCTCTTAAGTACCCCCTCCACCTTTCCAATCTTGTTTCATTTTACTCTGTTTCCTTAACTCTATATTCCAGTCAAATTCAACTATTAGCCATTCCTCCAACTACACAATCCATCGCTCCCCTCTGTGTTTTTGCATAGACTGGCTCCTGTGCCTAGCTGTCCTCGTTGCTCATCTCTGCCTTTCTGATTTCTCGTCTTCCTTCAAGGTTCACCTTAGGTGCCATTTTTTTGTGAAGCTGGGACTAACGTGGGGTGAATGAAATGTTTTCACAAGCACTGATATTAGGAGTCATGCCTCCTCCTTCATAGGGTTTATTTCAGTGCTTCCTCTCCAAGACAACCACTGACCACCCTTTACAGATCCCCTTTCTGTACCATCTCCTTTATCCTTCTTGCTGGAAAGTAAGAACTCAGGCCTAATGCCATCTCTGCCACTAAATAGATGTGAGACCTTGGGGTAAGTCATTTCACCTTTCCATCTTTCAGTTGTTTGTTCCTTTTTAATTTTTTTTTAATTTTGGAGACAATTGGGGTTAAGTGATGTGCCCCAGGTCACACAGCTAGCTGAGGCTGGATTTGAACTCAGGTCCTCCTGACTCCAGGGCCCAGCTGCCCCTGTTCCTTTTTTTTTTTAATCTGAAATTGATAGTGTCTAAAGTCACTCCTAGTTCTGGATTTCCATATTTTCTTAATTAAAATTATTTTGAGGCTCAATATTATGTGTCCATTGTCCTAAAGTTATTCCCAGCACTACAATTCCATGTTTGACCTGCTTTGACTTTCTATGTAAACCTTAAAACTCTATATAAATTTTAATTATTAGTTGCATAATACCATTATAAAATGGACCTTATACTCTAAAGTCCTTGCCAGTTTTAAAATTCTGTATTCTATGTCTAACAGTCTAATTCTCATATTCTATGTTCTAAGATCCTATCCAGCTTTGACATCCTGTGATTCTATGGTTGACATAGAATGGAAAATGTAATACCTTAGACAGATGATGGCATAATGAATATATCCACAGGAGCTGTGGGGTGAGACACCATCCAGTAACCATTGCAGGAAGCAGAAATGGGTGACTGGTGACTCACTATTGAGGAGTATTGAGTAGCTATATATGGATCTGATCATAACAATCAAGCAGTCTGCTATCTTCCTGGACCATGTGTCATTGGTGATGGAGAGATTCAGGACTTGGCAAATTGATGATTATTACAGTATAAATAAAACAGACACTAAAGTAAAGTCAAATGCTGTGTGATTACAATGACTAGTCTTCTCGGGAAAAAAGAGATGAGTAATGAATCTCTCTTCTTTCATTAAAGAAATAGATGACTGAAGGTGCAGAATGTCAGACCTAGATACTGAGACCATAAGTTCTACCTCACTTATTGTTTTTTAAGTTTTTTATTTTAAAATGTTTTACTGATTCCTTTTGTCTTTATATACCCATGTTACATACCCATAGCCCTCTGTTCCAGACTGAACAATTAAGCAAAATATCCCAAGCAAAGAATGTCTCACAATATGTGTGATGTTTTGTCCTAATTTTCCCCAACCTCTCTAGCATAAGGGAAGAGAATATGTTTCATTATCTCTTACCTGAGACTTTACTAGTTGATGTATTACTTAGAGTGTTACCTTCCTTTTAGCGATTTTTTTATTTACATTGTTGTAATCATTCTCTATATCGTGGCCATGGTTCTGTTTATCTTGCTTGGAATCAGTGCATACTAATCTTCCACATTTCTCTAAATTCTTCATGTTTCTCATTTTTACTGCAAAATTATATTTCAGTCATTTCCCTAAATCAGTGGATACCCACTTTGTTTCCAGTTTTGACTGTCACACAGCATGCTGCTATAAATATTTTGGTATAATTAGATCTTTGATTTGGTCTTTTACGTCTTTGGTATGTAGGCCTAGTAATGGGAATTCTTGGAAAAAGAATATTAACAGCTTAGACATTTCTCATGCATATTTCCAAAGAGTGGCTGGACCATTTTGTAACTCTACCAATACTGCATCAGTGTTCCTGTCTTCCCAAATCCTTTTCAAAATTTACTTTTCCCTTTTTTTAATCTTTTCCCTCTTGGATAGAGGGAGGTGAAGGCTCAGAATTGTTTTAATTTGCATCTGAATCAACAAGCATTTCCTGAGAGCCACCATGTTAAGCCACGTATCTCTATTACCAATTTGGATCATGTTTTCATGTAGCCATTTGTAGTCCGAAAATCTTTTGAAAAGTGCATACTCAGTTCTTCAACCAGTTTCTATTCCACAGTAATTCTTGTTGTTATTTATTGGTGCTAGTGCCCAGTGGTATTTGATATAAAATTTCATTCACATTCTACTATATCTCTTCTATCTCTATTGACTTTATTTTTGCATAAACATTTTAATTTTATGTAGATAGTTGGGTGGCACAGTGGATAGAGTGCTAAAGAACTGAGTTTAAATCTGGCCTCAGACACTCATTAAGCCATGTCATCTTGAGCAAGTCACTTAATCTGTGCCTCAGTTTTCTCATTTGTAAAATGGGGTCTTTCCAGGTATATTGTGAGGAAAAAATGTGCTATATAAGTCCTTGCTATCATTATCATTATCATCATCATCATCATCATTGTCGTCATCATTATTGGTGTTGTTTTTGTTATTTATGTAGTCAAATTGTCTATTTTACATTTTATCAACTCCTCTGTTCCTTGTATGGTTAGTAGTTCTCCCTCTAACCACAACTGTGAAAGGTACTTAATCTCATTCTCTTCTAAGATTTTTATGGAGTGACTTCTAATGGCCTTTTGTATAATCAGGTCAGCTATCAATTTTGAGATGATTATGGTAAGTGGTAGAAGATGTTGCTCTAAATCTAATTTCTTTTTTTAATAATTTTTTTTCCAATTACATTTAAAAAACAATTTTTAACATTCTTTATTTTTAATTTTGAGTTCCAAATTCTCTCCCTTCCTCTCTCACCTATCCCTCCCTGAGACTGTAAGTAATTTGGTATATGTTATATATGTGCAATCATGCAAAACATATTTCCAAATTAGTCATATTGTGAAAGAAAACACAGACCAAAAATAAAACATAAAAAATAAAGTAAAAATAGAATGCTTCAATCTGCATTCAGACTCTATCAGTTCTTTCTCTAGAGATGAATAATATTTTTCATCATGAGTCCTTTGGCATTGTCTTGGATCATTGTATTGCTGAGAATAGCTAAGTCATTCACAATTCACATACAATATTACTATTACTGTGTACAGTGTTCTCCTGGTTCTGTTCACATCACTGCACATCAGTTCATGTAAGTCTTTCCAGGCTTTTTATCCTGCTCATCACTTCTTATAGCACAATAGTATTCCATTACAATCATATACCACTTGTTTAGCGATTCCTAAATGGGTGCACATGCCATCAATTTCCAATTCTTTGCTACCACAAAAAAGCTGCTCTCTCTCTCTCTCTCTCTCTCTCTCTCTCTATATATATATATATATATATATATATATTATACAAATAGGTCCTTTTCTCCCTTTTTTTCCATCTCTTTGGGATACAGACCTAGTAATGATATTGCTGGATCAAAGTATGCAAATCTTTATAGTTTTTTGGGTGTAGTTCCAAATTGTTCTACAGAATGGCTGGATCAATTCACAACTCCATTTCTAAATCTAATTTCCAACAAATTGATTTCCCGTTTTGGCAAAAGTTTTTTTTTTTTTAAATGGAAAATGGAGTCTTTGAATAATATATGTTCCTACGTTTACCAAATCTTGAGCTGTTTTCACTTGCTTCTATTTTTTGCTTCTAGGCTTTTCCACTGATCTACTTTTCTATTTTTAATCAGTATCAAATAGTTTTGGTGACTATTGCTTTCATATCAAGGAGTTGAACAGGGGACTCTGCTCATCTGAGTCCATCAATTTACTTGATGGAATTTCAATATGTAAACTACAGGTGAAAGAAACAGTGAGGTAAAAGGATCACCCTTTAAGACTTTGAATGGCCCATTTACACTTTGTAGAGTGCGCTGTTGAGTATAAGTTAAGGATATCTATTTGCCTATTGGCAAAGACATTGGATCTGTAAAATTGCCCTTTTCTCCACAAAGTCACTAACTTGGGTGAGGGGAAGAAATTAATAGTTTAAGAGTTTAAAAGCCAAAGAACCAACTCTGCCAAGCTGGAGCTTCAGAGTCAATCAAGAAGCAAACCGTCCTGTGGAGGAAGAATCTAGTTTCCAATTCTTCAGGAAACTCTTCATGACTCTCTCTTCACCTTTTCCTTAGCACCTCTTAGAGAGCAGGAGTAAAATGGGAAACAGGAGATTCTTTCCCATTTTCCTACCCTTATCAACAGTGGCATCTTGGAAACAGAAGCACATGATAGCATTGAAGGAGAACATAATCCACTAGCAAAATCTAGTTGAGTAGAGTCAGCATGAGAAGTCTAAAGTCTGGCACCTGCAGTTGAGATCCTATTCAGGATATGTTGAGGCCCAGAATTGCTGGTCCTTGGGTTTCGATCGTTTTTTTTTTGGTTCCAGTTATTTTAAGAGGGTATAAGAGTACTCCAAGCCCGAATTTTTGTTGAGTCCAAAACTGGAGATGATAGAGACTACAGCTACACAATATCCAATCCTAGGGTAGAAATTTTTATTGTCTCCAAAAGTGTATAGTGGTACTTAGCCCAGAATTTCAGCTAATCCCTAAAGAAGGGAGGATAGGACCCATAACTAAGCATCAAAGCCATGCATCCTGCCTGTAAGCAGGTCCATGGACACTCGTGCAGAGACACCATGCCATCATATGGAGTAGAACAAAGAAAGCAGTTGATGTCGGGGATCCATGGTACTGGAGGTATAAATACCTTGGCCATATGTGTTCCTACATGTGTTCCTCTTCACATGTGTATTCTGAATTTCCACTCTTCCCATTTTTACTTTTTTTTGTATTTTTAAGGGAGTATAACTCAGATTTAGGGACAGATGTTAGGAATATCTGTCATTATGCCTTTTCAATAAATACATTTATTCTGAGTTAAATGTGGCCTTTAGCTATTGAAGACAAACATCAGTGGAGATGCATGAGCTATAGTATGGAATTAGAGAAGTGATAATCTCACTGTTCTCTGACCTGGTCAGACCACAGTCTGAGTATCGTGTTTAGATCCAGGTGCTTCATTTTAGGAAAGACAGATAAGCTGAGAAGCATCAAAGTAGGAAGTCTAGGATGGTGAAAGGTCTTCATGCTATGCTATATGGGAACTAGTTGGAAGAACTTGGGATCTTCTGCCTGGAAAAGGAAAGACTTAGGAGGACAGGTTGGCTACCTTCAAGTATTTGAAAGACTGTTCAGAAGAAAGATTAAACATTCTGCTTGACTCCTATAACTATGAGCAATGGGTGGAAATTTCAGTGAAGCCAACTTAGTTGTAAAGACATGCTTAACAGTTTTGTTATTGTTCAGTTATTTTCAGTTGTGTCTGGCTCTTCATGACCCCATTTAGGTTCTTCTTGGCAAAGATATTGGAGTGGTTTGCCATTTCCTTCTCCAGCTAATTTTACAGATGAGAGAACTGAGGCAAACAGGGTTAAGTGACTTTTCCAGGTCACATAGCTAGTGAATGTCTGAGGCCAGATTTGAACTCAGGAAGATGAATTTTCCTGACTCTAAGCCCAGCACTCTGTTCACTGTGCCCCCTATCTGTCTATCTTAATAGCGTTACACAAAAGTGGAATGGGTTACCTTGAGGAAAAATGGATCCTACTTCATTAAAGTTCTTTGGGCTTCAGAAATTCAGTGACTACTTGTTGGAAATATTAGAAATGGAAATCTTGGTCAGAAAAGTTTAAACTAGATCACCACCCCAGGCACCACTGAGATAGGAAAGCTCTCCTAACTGCTGCAGAAAGGCAACCCAAGGGAGAAACAGGAAGCAACATGTAACAAGAGGGCCAAACCACCTTAACCACAACCTTCCCTCAGACTCCAGTGGAAACAGTCCAGGAATCTGAACCCAAGGTCCCCAAGAGTAATAGCAACCCCCAGGAGACTTAAGGTGCTTCCAACCCATCCCCTGCAGCCATAATTCAGGGAAACATCTCTGGCAGGGCAGCTAACTAGCACAATGGATAGAGTTGGGCTTAGAATCAAGAAGACTTATCTTCATGAGTTCAAATCTGACCTCAGATACTTCCTAGCTATATGACCCTGGGAAAGTCACTTGACCCTATTTGCCTCGGTTTCCTCATTTGTAAAATGAGCTGAAGAAGGAAATGGCAAATCACTCCAGTATCTTTGCTAAGAAAACCCCAAATGGGGTCAGTGAGAGTTGGGCATAACTGAAGTGATTGAACAACAAAAATCCCCTATAGGAAAGTATCCTTCCATCCCTACCACCAATACCACCAAGTACCAACCAAATTCTACTGATGGTCAGGTAAGCCCAAATACACCTGCCCCCCCCCCCCCCGCCACACACACACACATAAACACACATCGGAACACCAGTCCTTCTTCCTTCTAGCTTTCCCAGACATTGCTCAGGGAAGCAGCTGTTCTGGAAATTTAACTATGCTTTCAGGACTTCAGCGCTTGCCTCCTTAGTAGCCATAACAATTAAAGAACCCCCCCCCCCAAAAAAAAGTCATTTTCACCAAATCATCAAATTATTTAACACTAGAAAGGCAGCAGTTTTATTAATGAAAATGACAATGAAACATTGCCATCTGCCTTTGCTGTTTGTCCCTAAGGACCACTGGGCATTTTTTCTCTAACTTGAGGTTGAAACCTTTCATGTATAGTGTCTTACCCTATTAGAAAGTCAGCTTCTTTGGTGTAGGTACTGTGTGCTTTGCTCTCCATATCCCCAGTGCTTTGCACATAATGAGGGTAAAAGTCATGCTTTTTCATTCATTCTTTCATGGCGTCTATAATTCCTTCCTGCTGAGATTCCTTGGGTTCTGTAGTGCTACTGACCTACTTTTACTAAATATTTCCATTTAAGTTGTGTTTTGATTTCTCTCCAGCATTCAGGAAGAATGTTTGCTCATCTAGGCCCACTCTCTTGACTGCTGTCCCTTGTGACTATTGATACAAACTTTTTAGTTTCCTGGTCGTGGTCTAGAATGCACACTATGACCACAGATGAGAGTAAAAGCAAAAACCACATGCATTTAGAATTCCCTGAGTGCCCAGACTGACTTCTGCAGCTTTGTTCAGTCATTTTAAGTTGTGCCTGACTCTTCATTACCCCACTCAAGGTTTTCTTGGCAGAGATATCGGAGTGGTTTGCCATTTCCTTCTCCAGCTCATTTTACAGATGAGGAAACTGAGGCAAACAGGGTTAAATGACTTGTCCAGGGTCACACAGCTAGTAAGTGTCTGAGATTGGATTTGAGGTCAGGGAGGTGAATCATACTGACTCCAGGCCAAGCAGTCTATCCAATGTGCCACCTTAATTCTCTGGAGGAGAGAATGAGGCTAGTGATGTTGCACAGCCCTGCCTCACTTAAATCCAATTCACTTGCAAGTCAAGACATCACTTTCCTGTTGTCATTGGTCCTCTAAGAGAACAAAGGACAAACAACCAACAACAACAACAAACCCTTGCATATAAAATTAACTTAATGGTTATCTGACTTCTTAGGTTGTGAATTTGGAAAGAACAAAGGAAAGGAAGGAGAGGGAGAGGGAAAGGGAAGGAAAGGAAAGGAAGTGAGAGAGGGAGAGAGGGAAAGAAATATGAAAGAAAAGAAGGAAGGGGAGGATGGGAGGGAGGGAAGGAAGGGAGGAAAAGACGGAGAAAGAAGAAGGAAGGGAGACAGAGAGGAAAGGAGGAAGGGAGGGAGAGAGAGAGGGAGGAAGGAAGGAAAGGAAGGAGGAGGGAGTGGGGAAGGGACAAAGGAAGGAAGAAAGGGAGGGAGAAAAAAAAGAAGGAAGGGAGGGTGGGAGAAACATATTTTCCCAGACATATTTTCATATTTAAGAAGACTTTGTTGCAAAGGAATGAATATCTAATGATGTATTTTCAGGCAATGCAACACCTGATTGAGGAAAATTTGGGAGGGGATCTGCCAGAAGCCCCTCCAACTGCATCACATAAATACCAGTTTCTTCTCTGTGTGTGTCTGTATGTGTGTATATGTATATATATACATATACATATATTTATACATATACATATATATATATACACATGCACACACGTAAAAATATATAGCCAGATCCACCTCCCTTTATAAAAGAAAAAACCTGTCCAAATAAATATTTGATAAAGAGCTGTCATGAAATTTATTTTATAAACACATTATGGAAGTATTTGAAATATCATATCTATGGACCAACAGAATAATAAAATAAGGTAATAATAATAGTATAGACATTGTGAAAGAGTTTTATACTCAGTATTTTATTTCACTCTCAGAACAGCCCTGTGAGGTAGGTCATTTATGAAATGAAATCATTACCAATTTCTCTTCTCAGAAAGGGAAAGTGATTTACCCAAGGATAAACAGATAGTAAGTAATAGAACCAAAATTCAAATTCAAGTCTTTTAAATCCAAATCTGGGGCTCTTTCAACTGAACCTCAGCTGCCTCTTCCATTCTGACAGATCACCAGTTAAAACGGGAGCCCTGACAGTCACCACTAGAACCTCTTCATTTCTGGGTTAAATATCGGCCCATTCCTTAGGATTCCTAGCTCAGTGCCAGAATTTCCTGAACAGTCTCCTAAGCAGTGAGAGGGCCTTATTAGCCTATTGCTTAATAAGAAAAGGGGTGGGGACTTGCTCTGCTTGGCCCCAGAGAACAAAAATACCACAAATGAGTGGAAATTACATGGCTCCATAAGGGAAATTCTTTTAGACCTATCCAAAATTGGACTGGACTGAATTAGGACACAGTAAGTTTCTTAACCCTGGAAGTCTTTGAGCAGAGGCTGAATGGATTATTATTTTTTGGCATTGCCTAGAGCAGGCCTGCACAACCTGTGGCCTGGGGGTCTTTTACAGCCTGCATACAGGCCGCTTACTCCACACCAAAGGATTTTGGGCAGCCCACAAAAAAATGGAGAAGAAAACATCCTCTATATTTTTGCAGGCTGCCCAAAATCCTTTGGCGGGCCACAGGCTGTGAAGGCCTGGTCTAGAGAGTATTTTCATCCAAGTATAGCTTGGACCAGATGACCCTTGGGGTCCTTTCCCATGCTGAGATTCTATAATTCTTGGCCTCATCCGCAGACTGACCATGGCTTAAGATTGACAATTCCACCCTGAGATGTTGGAATCTGGTTTGGCCCTGCCTGCATCATGGGCTCTGGGAATAAGCCTTTCCAATAGTATTTATCATGCTTCTGCAGCTTGCAAAGATAATGTACACTTAGTCCCCAATTCTCAGAACTCAGCCAGCCTTTGCAAAGTACTTAGTGTAGTTGAGACAGAGCTATCTTCTGATAAATCTTCCAATAAGAATGCGTTGATGGCTCTTGTTTCCTCTTACAAGGATGTTGTCACAGCAGAAGATGTTCTTGGCCCAGTTTGACGTGCATCAGCAGATTCGCTTGGCCTCCCTGAAACAGACAGCAGAAGCTATGGATCACCTGGGAGCCCAGCTTGAGACTCAGATGAAGGTAACATTGACTGAAATGCCTCTTTGGAAAACCTGCGGTCAGTTCAATTCGATAAATATTAGCTAAGCACTTGTTATGCCCAAGTAAGACAGGCTTTGCGAACAAAAAGAAAAGCTTTCATTTATTAAGTTTGTCTTTTTTCTTTACAACAACCCTGTGAGGTAGGGAGTGTAATATCATCCCCAGGATATAAATAAATTAAGGATCGGAGAGTCATTTACCCAAGGTCCTGTTATTGTTTAGCTGATTAGTTGTGCCCAACTCTTCGTGACACCATTTAGGGTTTTCTTGGCAAAGATACTGGAGAGGTTTGCCATTTCCTTCTTCAGCTCATTTTACAGATGAGGAAACTAAGGCAAACAAGATTAAGTGACTTGCCCAGGCTCACACTGTCTGAGACTAGGATTTGAACTCAGGTTCTCCTGACGCCAAGCCCAGAATTCTATTCACTGCATCAACTTGCTTGCTCAAGGTGACACTTATATTAAACATCAGAGCCACTCTTACCCACACCTCTTGTGATTCTACTAGACTAGTACTCTTCTCACTATATCACGCTACCTCTGTGAATGGAAGGGGGGAGGAGTCAAGTCTGTCTTTTGCAAATTTACCTTCAGGTGGTCAGACTAACATTTTACACACACACACACACACATATGCACACACACGTGTGTATGTGTGTGTATACATGCATATATATATATATATATATATGATTTGGTCAAGGTTGGTGATAACTAGAATTTCCTGTTTAATAGGAATGTACATGCAGTTCAAAAATCATTATAATAAATAAACCTTATGATGAAATAATATCTTCATGAAAATCCAAAGCTTGACTTTAAAGTACCATGACTGCTTCTTAAACATCTTTTCCAGGATTTATCCATCCAAATAAATGATGATCACCTCAAAGTAGTCCCCTTAGGAAGCTATGGGATTTTTCCAACAATGCTGCTCAATATTATTCAGACTGTTTCTGGACTCCTCTTTAGGATGTTGGATGCCCTTCCACGTTTCAATAACACATGCTTTTTCATCTCCACAGTCAGGGTAAATCTTTGTATTTTGAGGACAGATGTGAATTTTGGAAAGAACTAAAAAGCACTTGGACACCAATCTTGTGAAGGAGGAGGGCGATTGGTTGAGTTGGGTGCAACCATTTTTGTTTCTAATTGGAGTGTGCCTATAAGGGAATGAGGTTGATTTTCTGTACTGTGATATAGTAACAAGCCTGGCATGGGTGTTGAAGACTTACTTGCTGTGTGTCCTCACTCTGGCCCTCCACAGCTGTGCAATTTTGGCAAGTCAGTAAACCTCCCTGTGACTCTTTTCCTCATCTGTGAGGTGAGAAGGGTAACATTTGCGCAATCTTTATAATAGGATCGTTGGGAGCTAAGGACTTTCTTTGTACACTTTGAAGTCACGAATGTAAGCTGAAGTTCCTACTGCTCTTCACTGACTCTGAATGGTCAGCACTGAAGAGCAGGTAGCATTGGGATCCACAGAGAGGAGGGGACCACCTTCAAATGTCCTCACTGCCTGTTTTCTTCTCTTGCCTATTCAGGAAGCTGAGCAGATCTTCATCACGGAACTGGCAGCATTGTCTCGAGTGCCTCTCACCGAAAACAAACCAGCGGCAAACAAGAGAGGGCAGCCTGGTAAGTGAAGTGAGTGGTGGCAGCTAGGTGGCACTTGAGTTCAAATTTGGCCTCAGACACTTACTAGCTGTGTGACCCTGGGCAAGTCACTTAACCCTGATTGCCTCACCCCCCCCCCAAAAAAAATGTTTGAAGCTGAGATAGTTTGTCTTTTGCAGAGAAATGTCTGAGGAACAAAAAGAAGAAGCCCTTGCCTCGAGAAGACGATGATCCTAGTCTGAATGAAGATGACCTTACCTCCAGGGGCCAGACTTCAGGATCTTTCAGGTACAATAATGGTCTACAAGTTCCATTCCTAGTCCTACAAGTCTTTCCTAGTTCTACAGTCCTAGTGGGATCACTGCAGTGGTGTGCTGGTGAATGTTTAACAACTGGCTCTCTGAAAAAAAGAAAATGGATGCGCAACTCACTTTTAAGTTTAATCTGCATTATATTGACACTTTTCTCCATTACTTTATTAAGTCTCGATAACCAACAAGGTAAATCAAGCCATGATTTGTAGCTTGTATTGGCCTTTTATTCATTCCTCCTCTTTCTTTATCTCTCAGCACCTTTTGATGCTATCGATCTCCCTCTCCTAGATAGTCTCTCATTTCATTTATGTTTTCAGGACATTATTCTCTCCTGTTTCTCCTCCTACCTGTCTAGACATTCCCTTTCAGTAGCTTTTCCTGGATTTTCATCTGGGCCATGCCCACTAACTCTGGGTGTCCCTCAAAATTCTGTGTTGTGACCTCTTCTCTTTCCATTCTGTTATCTCACGTGGCAATCTCATCTGCTCCGACAAATTTGATTTCCATATCTATACAAGTGATTCTGGATCTATATATCTAATATCTAGATAATCCCATATAGTTGAAACTGACCGGTAAGGCAATTATATGGCAAAAATAAAATAAAATAATCTACATTGTCCAACACAGTGGTTCCTATTTAGTCTTTAATAAACCTGTTGGGAGTTTAAGATGGTGGCCCAAGGGAGTTGTGCTAAAATTATTTAATGGCAATTTAAGCAATAAATAATTATAGATAGCATTATGAATAGCATATTAAGTCACTCTAGATATTTACCACACATTTTTGTTTGATTCACAGAACAAAAAATGTTGGGAACCACAGTCTCAAAGAATGAACCCCAAGTGTAATATAGGGGTCTAAAGTAGTATACTAGGTTTCTAGTTCATTTTGTATTTGTCATTAAATAAAACAATAAAGATAAATTGAAGAAATAAACATTGGCAATGAGGAAATAAAACTATCACTTTTTGCAGATGCTAGGACAGTGTACTCAGAGAACCCGAGAGAATCAATTAAAAAACTAGTTGAAACAATTAACAACTTCAGCAAATTTGCAGAATATAAAATAAACCCACTTAAATCATCAGAATTTCTATATATTACCAACAAAATCCAGCAGGAAGAGGTAGAGAAATTTCATTTAAAGACAAACAGAATACTTAGGAATCTATGTGCCAAGACACACATAGGATTTATATACACGCAATTATAAAATATTCTTTACACAAATAAAGACAACGTTAAATAATTGGAAGAATATTAATTGATCATGGGTATGCTGAGGCAATATGTTAAAAATGATAATACTACTTAAAATAATTTACTTATTCAATGCCATACCAATCAAACTGCCAAAAATTATTTTATTGAGCTAAATAACAAAATTCATCTGGAGAAACAAAAGATCAAGAATACCAAAGGAATCCATGGAAAAAGCTTTTTGTGGTAGCAAAGATTTAGGAAACATGGATATTCCCACAAAATGGGGAATGGATGACCATGTTATGGTATGTAAATATGACAGAATAGTATTATGTTGTAATAAATGAAGAAGGAATAGTTTCAGAAAAACATGGGAAGATCTGTATGAACTGATGCAAAGTGAAGTGAGCAGAACCAAGACAGCAATTTACACAGCAATGCCAATATTGTGAAGATAATCAACTGTAAAAGGTTTAGTATTTGATAGATACGGTGATCCACCCCAACTCCAAAGGACTCTTAATGAAAGATGCTTCTCCACTTCCATATAGAGACTGATGAACTCAGAGTGTAGACTGAAGCATATTTTTTCTCTTTCTTTTTTTTTCTTTTGGAACATGACTAATGTGAAAATACGTTTTATGTGACTTCATATGTGACTTTGATAGGTATTCTAATTCTGGCCTTTTTGATGGATGAGAGAGGGGTGGAAGGGGTAGAAAATTTGGAACTGAAAATAGAAATGAAATTGAATTCAAAATTAAATATGACAGTACAGAGTAGTGTTAGCATGACTCTCTGATGCTCTTGAAGAAGGGCATATAATTCCTCTATACTTAACTATGATCAGGTCTTTGTTAAATGCTTCAATTGTAAGGTAAATATAAGATGTGCAGGAATATGCCAGAAGATAAAATGTATAAAAAAAGAAATCCAGTAAAATATTAATGAGCATGACATTAAGTTGGTTGACAAAGGGGAAAAAAAGAAAGGGAAAGGAGGTGATGATGTTTACTTTACGTTCATCATGAACTACTAAAAGGCATCATGACCAGTTGTTTTCCAGAGCTGAGTTAGGTATAGAGCAGAAAGTCTTGTTTGGCCACTATAGCAGGGAGGTTGTGAAATCACCATCCCTTGAGAGCTTTTAAAATAGAATTATTCCACCATCTGTTTTTGATCATTAAATTAAAACCTGCCTGTGACAAGGAGCTAGACCAGATGACAGCATCAAGGTCTTTTCTAGTTCTCTGAATCTAAATAAATCATAAAATCTTAGAAATAGAAAAAAAAAACTTGTAGGTCATCTAGTCTAAACTCCCAACCAGCATCGGAATCCCCAATCCACCATCTCTGATAGATGACTAACCAGCTTTCGCTTGAATACATTAAGTAACAAGAAGTACATTAGCTAACAAGGCAGCACATTCCGCTATGGACAGTTTTAACTGTTAGACAAGTCTTCTTTATCATGAGAGAAAATCCTCCTCTCTACAACCTCCACCCATTGCTCCCAGTTCTGCCTTCTGAAGTCAGACAGAACAAATCTAAACCCTCTTCCACACAAAAACCCTTTAGATATTTGAAGACTGTTTAAAGTATGCCCCTAAGGCTTCTTTTCTCCAGACTCATCATCCACAAATTAATGTCCTAATTCGTGCATGTGGATGTGACTTTTGGGAAAATCCTAGTGGGCATCACCTTAGAAGAAGGGGTAATGAAGTTGGTTAATAGATAAACTTCAGATGATCTCTAGATTCAAGAGTACAACCTTTTATAAACTTTGTAATAACAATAATAATAGCTCACATCTCAGTAGCTCTTTATGGTTTAAAAAGCAATTTCCTCGCAGTAGCTATACAAGGTAGTACAAAATATTATTATCCTCATTTAATAAATGAAGTTCTGAGACCTTAAGTGACCTACCCAAGGTCATATAGAGATTAAGTAAAAACTAGGATTCAATTCCAGATCTACAGATTCCAAAATTTGGGGTTCTTTCCAGCACTGTATGCAGTTGGCTAACTGTGCCCACATTATACGTAGAGTTTGCCCACAACTAGAACCTTGTCTGAAGTAGGTGTTTGTATGTGTGATAAGAGTTGTAGAATATTTTGCTCAGTTTGGTAGAGTCAAGTATATTGGGCCTTCATTATACCTTTAGATGGAACTAATTGGTCTGAGGAATTTAATCAGTTATGCCTGCTCTAACTCTGCCCTCTGCTGCTCTGCTATATTATGCATGAAAAGTGTACATAGCTCCTTTGGAGGGAATGTGGTGGGTGATGGTGTATTAATTCATGAGATCATAAATTTAGAACTAAAAGAGACATTAGAGATCATCTAGTTTAACCCTTTCATTTTGTAGATAGAAAACTAAGGTCCAAAGAGGTTAATCATTTCTGCAGGAGCAGAACTAGGATTGGAAGCCAGGTCATGTGATTCCCCATCCTGGTTTTTCCCACTGCTCCATGTTGTCTCCCCAGAAGGATTAGGGTCTCTTTCTCCTGGCTTTCAGAACTTGTCCATTTTCACATACTGACTCAGGGGTACCCAGAAGAAGCTGTGGAGGTAGTGGAAAGAATGCCAAGAATTGGAATCAAGACACTTGGGTTGGCATCTCAGTTCCTCCACTGACTAGCTGTAGCCTTGGGCAACTTCATTTCTCTGAGCCTCAGTTTTCTTCCTCCATGAAATACACCTCAGCTTCACAGGACCTCTTTCATGGTTCTATTATGTAAAAAAAAAATGCCATGGCACCTTGAAGCGCTAGAGAATGTTGACTTCTTATTACCACTATCATTATGCTTAGTACCATATGGCTGAGAGAAATGATTATTCTTCTTCTATATTAATAGCCAATTATTGAATTAGGACTAAGGCTTTTCCCCTTCCTTTCCTCATTTAGGAATCAACCCCTGTAGATTATTCAGGTAGCCTTTTAAATGCATGGTTTGTAATGAGATGAAATCTTGGGCAAAACTGACCCACCTGGAAAACAGATCTGTTCAAAAGGTAAAGAAATTTTAGTTTAGGTGAATTGATGGATTCTGGCGCAATTTGTTTTAATTCAGACAGGTCTGGGAAGAAGTGGATTTTCCCATTTGTCTAGATTGCCCCAGACGAGTGATATGGGTGTAGATAAGTGTATTTGACCAAGACTGAGTGATCAGTCCTGTCCCCCAGACCCTCATTAGAATAAGTCCACCTCTCATTATAATATTCATTCTCCTTAATTATTAACCAATCAGAGTTGATTACCACCCACGGAATACCTACTCTTCCAAGGGCATATAAACATCGAGAGGGTTCCATGAAGCTTCCATAAAAAGATGCCACTGACCCCTTTTATTAATTATCACTAACATGATTAATAAAATGATTAATTACCCAGAAACTATGTCTCTTAAACATTTTATACGTCACATGGGTTGACCCTTCTCAAGAAAAAGCAACCATTAGATCACTGAATCATAAATTTCAAGCTGGAAGGGACCTTATAAGTTATCTAGTCTTGATCCTTCATTTACATACGACTATAGATATGTACATTGAGGTACAGTGAAATTGAGGAGCTTGCCTAGGGTTACACAAGTAGCAAGTGAAATAGTGAGGCCAGAATTTGAACTCAGGACCTCTTGCTATAAATCTGATATCCTTTCCATTCCACCCCTGTGTGTATATTTATAGAATCAGTTACTTTCCATTCATTTAGAATAGATTTTGTCTTTATAGTTGAGAAAAAAGATGAAGTAATCATTTTCCCCAAGTTCTCATTATTTCATTTTTTCTATTTTATAAACAGTAAATTGCAGAATCAGGGTGAAAGTGACATTGGCGAACTAGAGAAATCAAAGAAGATCAGGAAAAAAAGAAGTAACTTGTAGTTACTTGCAGAGACATCAAGTTGTCAGTGTCAAGACCACCGCTTAGAAATCAGAAGAGCTGGCTGGGTGACGTAGGGCTTTGGTGTCCTCATGTGTTAACCATGGAAGATGCTTGTGGAATATCCCTCACATGGAGGACCAGGTTTGATAATGTGTATGACAAAGGGTTTGTAAAATTTCAAAGTATTGTGTAAAGGGAAATCAGTATTGTTATTTAGGACCAAAGAGAATAAAAAATAAATGTCCAGAAAAGAAAAGTAAAGTTTCTTTCTCTTTATGTAAAACAAGTGTTGCCTTTGCAAATCCATTAGTTCACTGCGCCATCTTGGGCAAATCAGCTACACTCCTCCTGTTGGTGCTCCTAGGTCTGATGTTCTATGTAAACTCCTTTCCCTTCTGACATTGGATGTTTTGTGTTGCTCTGTCCCTTCCAAGTCAAAAATAGACTCATTCTGTGAAAATTATGATTTTAAAAAGAAAATAAATTTGGAAAATTGATGTGGATACAAACATTTTCATGAATGGCAGAACTATTGTTGGACTGACTATAGTAAGCTTACCTTTTGTTCTTAGTTCTTTGGAAAAGAGATTTCAAAAACCTAGCCAATAGTGCCCTCTGGTGTTAAAAATATTTGCGTCCCAAATTTCTGTGAAGATTGAAGAAGTATTTTTTTCCTATTAACATTTCTATCAATCAATAAACATTCATTAAGCCTCTGCCAAATGCCAGGTACTATGCTAAATGCTGGGGATACTAAAAGAGGCAAAAGGTAGACCCTGTCCTTAAGGAGTTTGCAATCAGATTAATTTAGAAACAACTTTTCTTTCTAAACTTTTCAAGTCATAGTTACTGAATTTCAAAGATGCACAAGACCTACTAGAGACCATTTTTCCTGACCCCATCTTTTTATAGCTAATAATCAGTTGAGACGCAGTATGTCTTGGTAGATAGAAGGCCATCTTTGGAATCAGTAAGACTTACCTTTAAGACCCACATCTGACACAAACTAGCTGGGGGACTGTGGGGAAGGCGCATACCCCCTCAGTCTTCCTATCTCCCTAAGGTTGTCAGTTATCAGAGAGGTTGCTGATCTTTATCCAAGGAGGGAGTTTCCACAATGGGAATTCCCAATACCAATGAAATCACATCTACAGACCAAAAAGGAAAGATTCACCTTAATATATTACTTTATCAATAGCATGACATTTAGTATACCCTATACAATTAGATGATCCTAAGGATGTGCTGGGCAGCTAAGTGGCATGGTAGATAGAGTGTTGGTAGGTAGAGTCAAGAAGAGTCATCTTCATGAATTCAAATCTGGCCTCAGACACTTATTAGCTATGTGACCCTAGACAAGTCACTTAACCCTGTTGGCCTCAGCTTCCTCATCTGTAAAATGAGCTGGAGAAGGAAATGGCAAACCACCCTACTATCTCTGCCAAGAAAACTCCAAATGTGGTCATAAAGAGTTGGATATGACTGAAATGATTGAACAACAACAACAAAAAGAATATGTTAAGATCTGGAGGTAGGTATCGTACCTCAAGGAACTTGATTGACTTGCACAGCAAATGGCAGAGTCAGAACTTGAAATCACATCCTCTCCCCAACTCAAAATCCAGTACTCTTTCTAGGATACCATTGCAGCCTCCTAGCTGAGGAAGTGGAGTCATTACATAAGGAATACTTGCATAGAAAGGCAAGTGGTAATAGGGGAAACATGGGGAACGTGAGGTCAAATCCAGTCTCCAACACTTTTTAAGGATGGGGTTGATTGATACTTATACAATCAAGTCAGCCCAGCCCCCCACTTAAAATAAGTGATAACATGCCCAATCAATCAATCATAGGCTTTAGATGAAAAGTCCTTTGAATACTAATGATTTTGCACACAAGTCATATTCAGATAAACCTAGGAAACTTGGCCACAGCATAGGGATATATATAATATAAGTTGATACTGTAAATTATCTAGTGAGTTGAGAAGGGAATATTCTGGGAATTATAACAATTGCTTTATTCCAGATAGAGACCACTTGGAGGGGAGGGAAAGGGGTTTGCTCTCACTCTAGCCTCAGTTGGAAGAACACTTTATGAACTTCAAAGGGTCCAAAGGATGTTGGAACTCCCATCTTCCCATCAGTATTCTAACCACATCCCAAGACCAGATGACAGTAGCATCTAAATTAGGAACCAATGACAGATGGATTGACATTCACAATACTTAAGGGGAGTTTCTTGAGCACTCCACAAATGAGAGAAAAGGACTGCAAGAAACCAATAGCTGTGAGTTAACCCTTTGCTACATATACCCTTTAAACTTGAGCCTATTTTCTCTTGTTATCTGTATGTACTTGTGGAAGAATGTGTCATAGGTTTTTTTTGGGGGGGAGGACAAGTTTTGTAGCAACTATTCTTACTGTACTACTATAGTAAATACCTTTTTTTTCTAAAAGCTACCTGAGTCTTGCTGATTCGATTGGTTTTCAGCTGGTTACACTATGGAGGAGCACATTGATGGCATCTCAAGTCAATGGCATTAAAGCTACCCCTCCCTCCCTCAGGGATACCACTGGAACACAGAGGGAAGAAGTTTAGATTGCCTAGTTTTAACTTGGCTCATCAGTAGGAGTTAGAATGATAATATTTAGAGCTAATATGGCATACTCTTGACTTGAACAAATCTCTTTCCCTCTCTGTGCTTCAGTCTTCTCACCTGTAAAATTGGGATAACATTCAGTCAATCTACTTCTTAAGACTATTGAAACTAAACCCAATATTGTTCTGTAAAACAATATAAAATTCAACAGGAATGTAAACTGTTGTGATTATGAAGCATCATAGCATCTTGGCTGTTTGATTAGCTTGAAGATGATGAATGCTATAAATGTGCCCTCCGCCAACCTCAGCCAATTTAATAATTAGCCACCTACATTGGTGATTAGCTAATTAATTACTTTGTTCCAAGTCTAGATTAAGACTCATCTTTTTCACGAAGTCTTCTCTGAATGATTGAAGGAATGAAAATAGAGATGAAGAAGAAAAAGAAGATGATGATGATGATTAAGCAAAGCAGATACCAATGGAAAAATAAAGCAGTCCTTGCTATCATGGAGCTCACATTCTAATATGGGAAAATAACATATAAAAGAAGATTCAGTTGTAGATGGAAAGACTTCAAGGTCTTTAAGGTGCAACATGAAAACAATTGGTAATACATTTTCTTTAGTGTAATGATCTTTGATGATGACATATCTTTTGAATTATGTGATGGTGTCAAGGGATTTGATAATTGAGTGTTTTGTTTTCTGATTCTTCAGATTTTAACTACTCAGGAGGCAGGGGTGACCACCCCTGCAAAGGCAGTAGCAAGTTTCATATCCACAAATATCGCTCCCTTGGAATGGTCTGCCTTTTCACCTTCATCTCTTGGATTCCCAAGCTTCCTTCAAGACTCTTTTCATATTCCACCTGCTCCCTGAGGCCTCTCCTGATCTTCTCAGTTGCTAATGCCTTCCCTTTTCATATTGTTTTCCATTTACTGTGTATGTCTTGTATTTACTGGGTTATTTAATTGTTATCTCCCCATTAGAATGGTCTAATCTTTTGCCCTAGTGCTTTGATGGTATAGAAGTTCTGCAGATTTGGTGTGGGGTACCTGGATGCCACCTAGAGATGAAGGACCATAATAATTGATCAGGCACCAGTTCGAGGTGGAAGAAGAAGGGACTGTCTCAGCTGGAGTTAGGAAAGTATCCCATATGTCTATGTGTATAAATTGGGCTTGTAATACATGTCAAGGTTTGGAACAGACTCCGGAACAAAAAAAAAAATGCCCTGTGGTAATGTTTAGAGTCTCCAGGCCTGACGCTCATCAGCACACATTTTTGTTGATAGCTCTACCTAGACAACAACTCTAATTGTTAAGAAGCATTTCCTTATGTTCACATTGTATGTGCATCTCTATAACTTCTTCCTATCAACCCTACTTCTGCCTTCTGGGTCTAAATAAAACAAGCTACTCATAGTTCTAGGTCATTAGAGTCAAATTCAAATAGAAACAGACCCCTGCAGGCCGCACATTAGCTTAGAAAAACATAAATTACATTATCTATGTTGTATTATAGTTCTATTTATTTTGTTACTCATTTCCCAATTACATTTTAATCTGGTTCTGCCAGGAATTTTGAATTTAACACCTCTGTTCTAGGTGATAGTTCTTATTGTGAACTGCTCCAAACATTCTGGAGAACAATTTGAAACTATGCCCAAAGGGCTATAAAACTGTATGTACCCTTTGACCTAGCAATACCACTGTTAAATCTTTAACTCAAAGAGATCAAGAAAAAAGGGAAAGGACCTACATGCACAAAACTATTTATAGTCGATTTTTTGTGGTGGCAAAGAACTAGAAATTGAGGGGATATCTATCAATTTGGTAATGGCTGAACAAGTTGTGGTGTATGATTGTGATGGAATTCTCTTGTGCTTCAAAAAATGATGAGGGAGATGGTTTCAGAAAAAACCTGGGAAGATCTTTATGAATTGATGCAAAGTCAAGTGAACAGAACCAGGGGATCATTGTACAGAGTAACAATAGTATTGTAACTATAATCAACTGTGAAAAACTTAGCTACTCTGATCATTAAAATGATCCAAGTCAATTCAAAAGGAATCATGATGGAAAATGTTATCCACCTCTAGAGGAAAAAAAGGATGAACTTTACCAGCAAATTGAAGTATAATTTTTTCACTTTATTTTTTTGCTTTCATTTTTGCAACCTGACTAATGTGGAAATAAGGTTTGCATTATTTCATATGTATAATTGATAACATATTGCTTATATTCTCAGTGGGCATTGGGAGGGGCGAGGGAGAGGAAGAGAATTTAAATGTTTAAATAAATATTTTAAAAACAAAAATAAAGTGGTGTTCCCCCAATTCTCTGTCCTTTCCCAGACTAAACATCCTCAGTTCCTTCAACCAATGTGACAGGATGTTGAGGTGGTTCACCATCAAAACATCCTCTTTCTGGGGATGCTATTTAGCTTGTCATTGTCTTTCCTAAAATGTTGCATTCAAAACTTAATATAAAATACACCATGACAGAATATCAGCCAAGGATTATCACTTTCCTCTTCCTGGACAATAAGCTTCTATTAATATAAGCAAAAATCATATTAGATTTTTATGGTTGTCATGACAAGCTGTTGACTCATGTTGTGTTTGTACTCTACTAGACCCCTCTCCCCATCACCCTCAGATAACTTGCAATTTATCCATGCTTTGCTCATCTTGTATTTTTGAAGTCAATTCTTTTCATCCAAATGTAAGACTTTATATCCACTATATTTCATCCCTAAGATCCACCCCAGCATTCTAGTCTGTCAATATCTTTTTGAATCTTAACTCAGTTATTGAGTCCCATATCTGACTCTTAGCTAGATGGCCCTGGATGAGTAATTTAACTTCA